TAAGGGTTACAGTCCTTGACTCGTCTTTAAATAGAATTCTCCCAGAAGTTGATGAAAATCTTGGGTGAAAATTGATTGAAAAATAAGGTCTCTTTCTCTGTCTGCATATATGCTCATATATATGCTGCACATGTATATATGTGCATAAATAATGGCATCAATAAAATAAAAAGATGTTCTAGCTTTTTAATTTTTGGTCTCAAAGCAAGTAAAAGAATACAAAAGCTCATACTTATATGCTTTTTGGGTGATGGTAGATTTTACTGGTGAGAGAAAAATATCCTAATTATTAGTTTCAATATGGAAAAATACAAATTTACTTTATTTCTGAAAAGGCTACTAACATTCTTTTTATTTAAATATAGGTACGTTGTAGATGTCCATGATTACTGTTGTAATAAAACATAAATATCAACTTTTTTTCGTAATATGCATTCATCATAATGTATATCTTTTAAGTAAGGACTGTAGTGTTATTTAACAATTCACAAAGAACATTTTAGGACAGTATATTTTCTGCTAGTTGATCAATTAGATTTGTAAAAAGCACATACATTTCATTCCGTGATTTTTATTTAAAAATGTAAAGAGAGGAAGTACAAAGCAGCAAAAAGTACATACATATTGAAATCATAAAAGACAACATGGAAATTTCTCATGGGAATAAAATCACCTACTAATTTCAGCTTTATGGTTGAAAACTGGTCACATAACTCTATGGTACATACACTGAAGTTTAGGTAATGAAAAGTAATGTGGAAATCAGTTAAATCAACAAGTTCTTGTTTACTTCTTTTAAAATTACACATACGTACATATTTGTAATAAACCAAAACATAACACATATTTACATATATGCCTAATTATAGAATTTAGTTGTTTATTAGAATGATTGCTCAAACTTCTGTATGTTTTAAAAAGTTTACCATCTAAGTCTTAAAGTATGTTTTGAAACAAGGAAAAACAACCACAAAGAGATGGTTTTAGTTCATAAATTTAAAAAAAAGTAAATGTCTTCCAGTATATTGCAGCAACCTGTAAAACTTCTATTTATCCACAAACATCAAGAGAAGGGATGCTGTGAAACAAAGCACCAGAAGAGTGCAAGGAGAATGAGGAGAAGTGGGAAATTCATGGTGGAAGTTGAAGGTCGCAAACCTGAAGGTAGGGGTGTTGTACTCTGTTTAGTAAAGGGGTTTCCCCCCTATTTTAGGTTGCACACGGAAGAGCCAGCTAGATCAGAAATAGTAAAGGAACGTTCCTTACAGTCTATAAGGAGAGAAAGGCTAGTAAGGAGTTATTTCTAAAGAATCTGAGAAACCTGTTATACAAGGGAGTGGAAAGGGAGAGGGCTTCGTTAAGTGACTTCAAACAGTGTGGGCAGAATAGGTGGGGGACAATTTGGTGACAGAACCTGGTTTCTTGGGAGCTTTGGAGTGGATTCTAAAAGTTCATGGGGTTAGCTTAAATACCATTATGTTAGTCATCTGTTAGAAAGTTTTGTGACTAATAATTTTTTCTTTAATCTTTATTCTTGTTTATTTCCTTTATGATCTCTTCTGGTATCTGCTCTGATTTAACTGTTGTATTAAATGAGAACTGCTTAGTTTGTGGACTGTGGGGTTTACTTCATTTATTTGGACACTTGACCCAATAGAATGCCACTTCCACCTGGTAGCAGCTAATAATGGAGAAGCTGAAATTAGTCCAGAAAGGAAAATTAACTGGTATTTAAAAGTAAGCTTTGCCAGTGCAGCCACACCTTGGAGATGGCATCCTATTGTGCCAGTGAAAGTTATTTTTAAAATATCACTTCATTTTAATAGAGAGGATCATGAAATTCAGTTCTCTGAAGTATCTACATTGCTGGCTTGATGGTTAGCTAGAACATTTCTTCAGACAAATAAGTACAGAATTTGCTTTTTTTCCCAAAATATTGAAGTAGTTAAGGTAAAAATAAATGATCTGGATCAGTGATTCTCAGTCCTCTGTGCTCATTAGAATTCCCTGGGAAGCAGTTGAAAATTACAGACCCCATGTCCTTGCTCCTAACAAACTAAAACAGGAGGTGGGACCCGAGCATTGTTCTTTTAAAAAAAGCTCCCTAGATGATGCTAACTCATAGCCAAGGTTAGAACACCAGTCTAGCTAGCTCAAGGCCAAAAAAATTTGAAAATAAATAGGTAAATAAATAAATCCCTATTTGTGTTTTAATATAAGGCAGGTTATTGCTTCAGTGTCATTTGTTTTAAAATCACCAGTGTACTTGGTTGCCTGTAGCTTTAAATCCAAACATTTTTAGAATGCAGTTAAGCCCTTTACAATCTATTCTTCACTGACGTTTTAGGTCTCAGCTCTCTACAACTTTGTTTCAGTCTTGTCAACTCAAAGGCATTAGAATATTCCCTATACTTTTATTCTCCATGTTTTTTAGCTTCTTGCTGTTTTCTTTCTGGCATATCTGAACCTCTTTCTATTCTTGGCAAAATGCTACTTATCCTTTAAAGGCCAGCTTAATAGTCATTGCCTCTGTGACAATGTGCCAATCATAATTATTTTATATAATGTTGATTTGTACAAATTTAAATCACTTGAATATTTTCCTGAAGGGACAGTCACATTATCTAGTGATAAGTGTATAGTTAATACTGTTTCAATCTCTAGGTATCTGCTTAGTTATTACTTAGGTGTCTATCAGTAACTACTTAGGTATATAATCTCAGAAAGAGGCATTTGATTTGACTTTATGAATTATTTCAGATAGACATTTGAGTTATATTTTGAACATTTGCAAATTCCATTATCTTTTATTCCAACTCCTTGAATCACTTAAGGAAGACCGTAATGCATGACTTTTTTTCTGTTTAAAATGGGACTATCCAGACTTTAGAGTTATTGAAAATATTGGGATGTCCATATTCTTTTGATATGTTGAATTTTCACATTTGGTTACAGTATGTGTTTCAATAGGAAATAAGTGGGTATAATTTCTTTTTCTTTACTCCTTTGACTTTGATGTCACAGGAAGCCAGCTTGCTAATTCCCTGATACCTGATATTTCCCAGACTAGAAAGACTGATGAGGATCAGCATTTCCCCCAAGAGTCATCAATTCTCTTATTTCCAAAGATACATATGTCCCTTAAAAGGGTCCAGAATATTTTCTGCAAAACCTGAGCCCCTATCAGCAAGGCTGAGGGAAGAAATGCAGCCTTTTTGCAACAGAAAAAAACGAAAGCACCCTAAAATAGGCCAAGAACTTGAACAACAGCAAGACGGGAGTGGGGGAGGGGTTAGAAACATATTAAAATAAAAATCTGATGTACAAAATAAAAGCTTATCCTGTAGTTCCCTAGCTCAAGTTTTCCCACTTCTTTTCATTGCTGGAATTTTGTAAAGTATACAGATAGTAGAGAAGCATTTGTGTTAATATTCTGCATATATATATATATATATACATATATATATAAAATTAGGAAGGTGGTTGAGGTGTTGGGAGGTTGAGGTGGTTGAGGTTTAATATATATATTAAATTGTGGACGGTGGTCTGTCTTGGAGTCTATAATTACAGATTGCCATTTGTATCTAGTCACTAATAGAAGAGTTACTTCTGTAGGACAATTTCAGGATCTCTTCAGGTAGGAAAATTTTCTGTAATTGAGAAACTACTCAACTTTTAGGCAAGAGCTCATAAGATCCAGGTAATCCCATGCCTACGTGAACTGTTCCTTTTTCCTCCAGTCTTTATTGATCAGAACCCCAGATTTTCCATCAAACTCAATCCCGGCTGAGCTGCAGACAACACCCCCGCTGGGTGCGGATTGCAGGGCCACCACTGGAGGGCGTCTGGACGCTTCCAAACGACTCAGAAGAGCCTGGAAAGCCCGAGCTCCACAACTGGAAAGCACAGGAGAGAGAACGTGATAGTTGATTTTATTGGGTTAGTAAGTACAGGGAGAACAGGCAGGTTTGGAAGCAAAGCTAAACTGCTTTCTTGGGATCAGCCTTTCACACCGCTGCAGCAAACTCTCTAGAGCGCAAGAGAGAATAATACCGCGAAGGCCCGAGCCCTCCGAGGCCGGTAAGGGCGAGTCTCGAGTGGTTGCACCGCGCAGCGCCGGGCGCTTGGCAAGCTTCCCGGGAGCTGGAGCACAGGGGACGCGTCCCGAGGCGCCGGGATTGCCTAGCTGTCAGGCAGTCGCACTTCGGTGGAGGCTGGGGAGCCAGTCGCTGCGACATGCTCTAGAAGTTCGGGTACGCGAGGCATTTTCTGGTAATAAAGGAACTCCTTTGACCTCCGATTCCGCCTGCACAGGGTTCTTTTAAAGCATTTTTATCCTTTGGGGAGCGGGCAGCGAACCACCTCCGGGTTGAAATGTAAAAGGTGTTAAGACATTTCTGAGGGGCTTCCCTTCTGCATTAATTTTCTCCCTGCTGAAGGTTCCCACTGAATTGTAATCACTTTACACTGTGATTTTTTTTTCTCAGTTAAAAAAATGTGTTTTCAGAGCATCACTTTAAAGAAAAGTCTTCCTTCCTGCTCATGAACCCTTAAATCCCTGGTAGGAAGAGGGTTGTTGAAAAGCACATGAGAGATGCTCAGGTTTCCAGATAACCCAGATCAGGGAAATGCGCATTGTGCACAGAGCAGAGATTTACAAGAACATGTGTTTACTGAGGCTCCCAGCCAGCCCGTCTGCTGGGACTTTTGGTTACCTGAGGGGCCTGGGAGAGAGATTATGGCTCTACGGCTACAGGGTGGGAACCGATTCCTTTGTAATGGAAAGACCCCACTCTCAGGTTAAAAAATGTCAAATCATTCCTAAGCCCAAACAGAATTCAGCATCCAAAGGGTTACGCTAGGCTGCTGGGTTTGGGCGGAGGAGAGGGCGCCCAGGCACTCCCAGTAATTCAATTAGTCAGGTTTCTGGAAGGTGGGGCCAGGGAGGGGGGTCGGAGGCGTGGGGAAAGGAGGAGATTAGGAAAACGCCTCTTTCTCGTGGAACAAACCAATCCTGTTGGAGTAAAGAGAGGGGAGGGGGGGGCAGAAAATCCCGACCTGTAAGCAAACAGCAGGCCGTTCTCTGACTGGCTGCTCCAGCCACCCAACCCTCTTTCCAAGTAAACTGCATTAAAAAAAAAAAAAAAAAAGAGAAAAAAAAGCAGCCCACATGACCCCGGCCGCGGCGGCAGCGGTGGTGGCTGGGCGCGGGCCGGCGGCACCTCCCCCTGCGCGGTCCGGAGCTCACACCCGCGCTCCCGCCGCCCGTCTGCCCCGCGCCCTGCGCTACTCGCCCCCCCGCCGCCGCGCCGCCCACGGCCACGTTCACGCGCGCGGCCTCGCGCTCCGGTGCGGCTGCGGCTCGGTCGCCGCTGCTGTCGGCTGTACACGCAGGTCATTAACGAGGGGGCGTGCCCGAGGAGATTTTTCCCATAAAGCATTTTTTCTGTCTTTTTTTTTTTCTCTTTTGCAAAACTGACTTTTACTCCTTTCCAATTCTCGCCAGTCGTTTCCATCCCTCCCGGGCTGCTCGTGCTGCTGCTCCTAAGTTCATTTTCCCGCCTGGTAGGGGTTTTAGGATTCGGTTGGTGGTTTTCACTTCTTGTTGCTGCTGTGCCCAAGGAGGGAAAGAGGAGCAGCTGCAGGAGAATTGGGGAGGTTTTCTGATGTAGTCATCGGGGAAGTGCCACTCGCTCTGCGTCCTCTCTTTTTTTCTCTCTCCCCATTTCAAACTGATTGATGCATCTCGACAAGTTGCCGGGCTTGGGGCCGGACACGTCGGAGTCGCGGAGAGACTTGTGAGAGCTCACCGGGGCTCTTGGCACCGCGTCTGTGGGCTCAGTCTTGCTCCAAGAAGGCAACCGGGGACTGACACCAGCCTGTCCAAGGAGTTGGAGGGATTCATTTAAGAGTGATTGTTTCCCCTCGCGGTCTCCAGCCGAGCAGTTGGGTTGGCGTCGTCCTGCAGGCTTTGGGCACCCCAGCTCCGCCCGGCTGTCTGGTTCGTAACCTGCGCTCCTCAGTCACCCTGGTGCACCCACGCCCGAGAAGTCGCCGAGGCTCCGCCAGCGCTCTGGGTGTAGTCTCCCGCCGCCGCCGCCGCAGTCTACTCCGCCGGAGGACCTGCCGGCAGACGCGAAGAGCCAAACTTTTCTTTGAGGTTTGCGAGGCACTACTGCCCCTCACTAGCTTAGCTGCTGCTTAACCAGTTCCAGGGCGCCGGCGGGGCTAGGTTTTTGGCTTCGGATTCCCACCCTTCCTCGGCGCACCGCCCCGAACCGCAGCACCTACACTCCTGCGAGATTTCCAAAGGTTGCCAGGTTAAGGCACAGACGAGGCGGGGAAGGAGTTCTCACACTCCTGGGGTCCACAGGCGTAAGTCCCCATCGACGCGAAGCCGTCCTCCTGCAGTTTCCCACCGGCCGCAAAAGTAACTTGGAGCGAAGCGGGGCACAGTGCGCGGGCCCTGGGCGGCGGCGGAGCCGTGAGCAGCCCGCGGCGCCAACGCTGAGCCGGGCCCGGCGGGCCAGTGTATGTCTCCCCGCGGCCGCGGCGCGCAACTCCCGGTGACTGTGCAGCGTGCGCCGCCGCCTGCCCCGACCCGCGCTGCTGCCGCCCGGCCCGGCGCGCACCTCCTTCTCCCGGGGTGACCGGCCTGCTGCCGCTGCTCGGAACAGCTTGGCCCCCCTTCCCCGCCCTCGCCGCCTCCACCGCACACACGCACGCTTCTCTCCATCTTGTGATTCCTTTTTTCCTCCTGAACCAACCAACCCTCCAGCGGGGGTACGAGTTTGTCTTTATTCTCCTCTCCACCGCATTCTTTTCTTCTCGTTATCCTCCCCCTCCCCAGCTTGGTGTGCGCCACTTTCTTTTCTCGCTCCTCTTCTTTTTTTAAATTTATTCATATTTATTTGGCTCCGGCTTTCGCGCGCTCTCTCTTCCCTTCTCTGCCTCCGTCGCTCTCTCCCTCCCTCCGGATCCCTGCTTTCTCCCCGGAGTGGCGCGTCGGGGGCTCCGCCGCTGGCCAGGCGTGATGTTGCACGTGGAGATGTTGACGCTGGTGTTTCTGGTGCTCTGGATGTGTGTGTTCTGCCAGGACCCGGGCTCCAAGGCCGTCGCCGACCGCTACGCCGTCTACTGGAACAGCAGCAACCCCAGGTAAGGCAATGGGGGCGGAGAGCCGAGGGTACTCGGGCCTCGTGGCCCTGCGGAAGGAGAAGCGGCGGCGGGGACCAGCGCGCACCAGCCGCCAGCGGAGCGCGCTCGGAGCCTGCGTCGCCCGGGCGCAGATGGCTTTCGCGGCTCCTGCAGGATGCTCGCTCGTCGCTCCTCTCTTTGTTAAGCCGCAGCGGAGAGGCCGGGCGCCCCTGGGAGTCCTCGGGGCTGCCCAGATCCCAGTGTCTCTGCGGAGCGCTGGGAGACTTGGAAAAGGCGGGAGCCGGGGTATCAAGACTAACCCGCTTTCCCAGCCCCAACCAGCATCCTGATCCCAGAGCAGGGCTCGGGCACCGGGAGCCCCGGGTGTGCGCCGCCAGGAGCTCCCTCCTGGAGCCAGGGTACGCAGAGACTGCGGAGAGAACCCGCCAAACATCCCTAAAGTTAAAAAAAAATTTTTTTTTCTCTCCTTTTCCCTGTGAGCTCAGAGAGCGAAGGACTGGGTGAAGCAAGGAGATCTGGGAAGCGGAAGCTTTAGGTTTTTATTTTCCTCTTAACTGCATGGAAATCCGGCGGTCCCTGGGTCAGTCCGGGCCCTGCGCGCTTGGAGGTGGAGAGGATTCTCCTACCCCGTCCATTCCCCGTTGGGCTCAAGGTGCCAGAAAGTTTGATCTAACGCTGGGTTACGTCATGGGTGCGGAGCGACCTGCTGGAGTTGGCCGCGCCAGGAGGTGGGGGCCCCTCGTCCGCGGCCTGCCGGTATGCAGCCGGAGGAACGCGCGCGGTTACCTGGCCCCGTTTTGCGGGCGTTCCCGAAGCTCGCGGGGTTTGCGGGAGGCTAGGAGGTTGGCGCCCGGGGCCGCCCTAGCGCGCCTTCTGGACCGTGGCCACCCTGGGACGTCCCTTATATAGGTACCCTGGAAGTGGGGTGAGGGTGAGGGTGGGTGGGGTCCAGAGCGCCGGGCGGACCCCTCGATCCAAAGCAGTTCCGAGCCCTACTTTCTCCTGGGCCTGTGGGCATCAGTCGGCCCAGTTGGCCCCACATTGCTCTGCCTCTCTGGGCCAAGGCCAGCTTCCAGCTGTGGGCTGATCTCGGTGCCCGCCTAGGAGAGAAATTGCGTCGATTATACCTAAACCCAAGCTTTTCCCTGGCGTGGAGTGGAAGCTGGGAAGAGACAAGCGGGAGGCCTGGGGGAGAGTTTGTAACCGTTGCTGCGCTCCTAGCGCACCTGAAGAGAGGGAGCGCCTCCACCGCTTCCTTCCTCGGCGTGGCCGTCTCCGGCCTCGCTCTTTACCTAGTTATGGAGCTAGGGGAGGGATTTCCCGCTTGAAGTATTGTCAGCCCAGATGAAGATGGACAGATTTCCCTATAAGCGGTCCTCCGGTTGCTGAACGGAGAGAGTGTTACTCCCACCCTGCTGCAAAACGGAAGATAGGCACACCTCGGTAGCCCAAGTCCTAATTGCACCGCCTGGCAGAAGTGGAGACATCCATGGAAGTTTGGCTAAAAAGAAAAAAAGTCTCCTGGAGGTGGGTGGTGGGATGGGAAGCTATTTCTTTGGCTTGCCACTTGCCACTACCAGGAAAAGAAAGAGAAGCCATCCTGCCAGAGGAGATGCCTTTTATTAAAGCTGACAAGACAAATAGAGCAAGCTTTCCAGTTGCGATGGTGTTAAAAGCAAGGCTCATTATGTAGGTTGGTTTTATTCTCCTTTGGGCTTTATTACACGGCAGATATGAGACAGAGGAATTTATATTTCTAAACTTGAGCGCCTTTCTAAATCAAACAACAGTGAAACTGGTTAGTTGAATTTGGGACATTTTGCTCTTGGTGGTTGTCTTTTCTTTCCCATTCCAAACTTCAGTGTGATCTTTTCCTTACTGTAGTAATTTACTTGGGTATTTGGGTGTTCTAGTCTTCCCGGGTTAAAACAGAAAGAATCAGAAACACCCTTACTGAACCCCTCCTTTTAACCTGTCAAGCTAGTCTGAGTCAGTTTGAGGACATTTTATCTTAGGTTATCTCTGTTTTATGCTTTTGATACTGTTGTTTGTTTTGAGATTAGCACATTGATTTTTGTCACAGGTCATGTTTTTTAATAGATCTGCCCTGCTTATAGAAAACTTCTGCTCAGGATGCCAGGGTTGCTTTGAACCAGCCCAGACAAAGTTAATATGTAGAATTTTAAAATACCAAGAGTATTCTCATCAGTATTCTAACTTGAGATTTGTGGAAATGCCTTCCAATTTGATAATGATTAAAAGAAAGAATGATGTACCCCCTTCCCCCTGCCCGCCCACCAGAGAGTCAACTCCAAATTTAATATTCTTAAGGGTTTATGGATTCAATTTATCTTCATATATTATCACAGTAAAACTTACTTTAAAAAGTAATACGATTTTAAAAGTAGGTACTGGTAGGCAGATTTATCTCTGAAATGTAGAATAAGATGATGCTTTCTGATGCCTTAAGAAAAGTCAGCTTGGATATAATTTAAAAGGAGCCAAATGAAAAATACATATTTCAAAATAAACAGTTTATCACAAAGGATAGTGAAGAAATATTTCAGAGAGCTTGCAGAAGTTTACTAAATTTCATAAATTCAATGTTTACATTTTCCTTTCATATACATTATCCTTTTATAAAGTAAGCTAGCCATGTCTTGTTTTTACATAAATCCTCTTAACATTTTGCTAATAATCAGAAGACTTCAATTTTTTGTTAAAAAGTTGGAAACTTCAATTGCAACTTAGATGTTTAAATTGTTTTTCTCTTAGAAGAGAAGTTAGTGGACATATTAAGCTGATATTAATGCATACTGTGGCAAAATGAAATAAATACTATTTTGTTTATACTAATGGATGTCAGTTTGAAATCATGTTTAGATAGAATCAAGTTTGATCACAGGGTTTAAATATCTTACCTTGTAACTTGAATAGTCATTGAAGTTCATTGGCTACATTGGGTTTCATTACTGACTCCATCGATACTATAAGCACCCAGTGATCTAGGTTCACAGAAGGAAAAAATATTAAACTTATTTGCTGTCAGATAGTTTTACTTTTAGAGTATCTCTTCCCAGGTATTCACTTCGGGGAAGTAGATGCTTAATTTTCAAATGCTGATAACTTTTTAGTTGCCGGTATTTATTGGGCAGTGAGCCAAAGTGATTTTATGTGTTGAATTGGCACAAATCTCTGAATTAGCAACTGAAAACTATCAGTCTGAATGGAAATATCTGATAACCTTGTTTAAATGTATCTTCCATGTACTTTAACAATTGAAAAGTTGTCTGAGATTCACCTAGAATAGAGTAATAAAATGATCTTTTTCGTGTTATACTGAATTCTGAATGGACATGTTACTAAGTAAGTTTGAGTAATGAAAATGGGAATGAATATGATTATTTCTCCTTAATTTCTTTAAGAATATAAAAAACTTTTAGTAATTTTTCAAAACACTTTCATTAATAAAACTTCATTTTCATTCTCCCTTTGTAGCTACCCTCATAAAGATAGAGAAAACTCAATGTTATGAACATGCCTCTTAATCTGAAGCAAGCTATGAACAGTTCGGTATCCTATGAGAGAATTCTATTAAACACTGTGTGTATATTGAAAATTTCTGGGATTATTTTGACCAGGTGCCAAAATGATGCTAAGATAATAAAGTATATCACCTCCTGGTTGACATTAATAGATGGAAGAGTAAAATAATACAGTGGTAGATAAAACCAGCACACTTTAAGAATACTGATTCTCCTCCCTTAGTGCTTTGGTTCCATTTAAAATGTTAACTATCTTACAGGAAAAGATATCTCTATAATTCATCCAGGATTTACTAAAATTTAACCTAATCATATGTTTTCTTTGGATTTTTTCAGTTCTTATAGAGACTTGTAAATTAAACAGTTCATGTTAGAGTAGCAGGTAATTGACACCATTTAGTTTTGTTAACATGTAATCTTGGAGTTGTGAAAGTGATGTGAATTCTAGGTCAGCACTCCCAAATCCTTCTGTCAGTAAGGGTTGTATATGTGTGGCTAAGTAGAGAGAAATAGTAACATTTTTTCCCTAATCGTAATCCTTTGGGTATTTTTTCCTCTTTCAAAATTCACTGCATTTAAAAAAATCTGTGCCATCAGTGCTTCATTATATGTATACCAGTATACTAGCACTGTGCCTTTTCTACTGACAAATAAATGAAATCAGTTTGGTTTAAATCTAAGAATTTGTTTTGAGGCAAGATGGAAAGTTAATCTTGGTTTTGAATGCGTTTTATCACCAAACTTGTAAAGAATTAACTTTTTTTTGGAAATTTAAAATGTTCAGAATAATATATGTTAGGAACATACAAGTTGTTCAAGTAAAAGACATTACTTAGAGTCTTGTAATGTTAACTCTGAGTCTCAAAATAATGTATCATTTTATTAGATGTGATGGGGCAGTTTTATTATTTTGATATGTATATCAAATTATGTAAATACCTGGATAAAAATAAAGCATTGTGTGGAGATTTATATCCCATATTTCTTTCCTAATCCATTTATAGAAGACTTGAAGTGAATCTTCCCACTCCCTCTTTTTCTGTCTATGGATTTGTAAAAAGAAAAGTATGCTTCTTGTTTTTGGTCAGCTTTCCATAAAAGTTTGAAAAGCAAAATTAGCTACTGAAGTGTTCCATCCAATTCCTTCATTCTATTATATATTCAAAATAAGCTATCAGAAATAGTCAAATGTCTTTTTTTTTTTTTGGTTACTGAAACATCAGTGCTATTTGAGGCACACTTGGCTGTGCAGTCTAATTTGGCATTTCCAGTGTGAGACCAAGGTCAATAAACTCCTTGTGAATAAAAGAATCAGAGAGAGCCTTTAGTAGTTCATTACTCCCTGTTAGTTGATTTTAGTGGTATTAACTAAATCTTTGGCTCACTGAATGAATCTCTTATTGCCATTTGTGTTCTAGCTAATGGTCAATAGCTATAGAGGCTTCTACCTTTGAA